AGAAAAATAGCAAAAGAAAACAGTACCATAAGCAGTAACAGTAATGTAAGAAGATAAGATAACCAAAAAGGAAAGAAATAACAAGTAGAGGTAAAAATCTAGGAATAAAAAAATATAAGAATAGTCCTAATACTATTGGTACAAATGACACACTCGACTACCTACTATCATTCGACCCTAATTACAAGAATTCTTTCTCGTAAACATTGTGCAGATTTTAACTCGACACAAAATTAACACTTACCTCTTCTAGCGTGAATTACACCCATGAACTAGAGGTATAACCAAATATTTCAGTGTTTCTTAAGCTCATATAACCGACATAATTTAAGCACGTGATTCTTCACACTTCCCGTCAGTTATTAAACTGCATTATTTCATACATTCAAACATAGAAAAAATTCATTGAAAGCTCTTTCGTGTTGAACTGAAGCTGACACCTCTTACTACTTGGAGACTTAACGCAACACCGGATGTCCCTTGCGGGCCCAAAGTCCATCACTTTCAATATTAGTAGTATCATTTATAAAAGAGATATTCCAAGCTAACTTAATCAATGCCAAATTCTTGTTAATTTGAACTTAACACAGTTGAACTTAGGAGATCATATACATAGCATGTGTAGTTTATGGTATAGATCTCAGTAATCATTACATCTTGATACTTCCTCCAACTTCGCCTCTCACTTTAGGACTTGACTAATAGTCGTACCCGCGATGCGCGGTCAATATTAAAAAATATTAATTAACTTAATTTGTGATCAGGCTTGTTAGAACATATTTCATCGTATTACTTTAATAAATTTTAATTGTCATCTTATTTGTCAATACGATATACTCAATAATAAAATTTCTATTAAATTAAAGAGACTTATATAGTCATTGAATTTTTTTTTTGTTATATATTTTTCCTTATTATATTGTCCAATGTTAATATAATTTTTTATTAGCATATTACTTTGTTTAATATTTTTGTCTGCTCGCTTTCTTTTTGTAATATAATAGAAGATATATATTTTGGTACTCTTGAAATATTTTTTTATTTTTTATTTTATTTTATTGTTCTCAATAATATTGTCTGAATTTTAATGAATAAATATACTTTTTATTTTAAAAAAAAGAAAAACGAAATTCTTTTTTAAATAATTTTAGTTAGTTAATTTCTTTGTTAATTTTTAATAATTAATTATTAACTAAATAACTAATTATGCCATGTGACTTTTTCTAGGCTACCACTTGGGTAAATGTGGTGCCTTTTTCTTTGGCTTTTAATAATATATAGATCTATAGATAAAGATAATTATTTTTATATCATGTGCAATTAAATTTTCTTTCTCTTTTAGTTTTACGATACAAATTTAACTTTTATTTTTGTTACTAAATTACCTACATGAGAAATTAATTTTGTATTCTTAAAATTATAATTTGTTATCCAATTGTTATTTAAGATATCTAGTAAAACTTTAATTTTGTGGTCCTATTCATAATTTGAGTGTTACCATAATTTTAATTTAATCTTAAGTTCATATCATCTTTCCCTTCTAATTCTAATATTAAGTATTTTTGATTAATTATTGCTATTATGTTACCTAATATATAGTATTTCACGTTTTCATGTGACCTTCATTAACTTTCCTCTTTATTTAATATCATGATCCATTTATATCCTTTTATATAATATAGATCAATATAGTTTTTTAATCTTGATATAAATATTTATATTATTTTAAATTAATAATCGAAATTATTAAATTGTTTAAATATTTTAATAATATTTTAAGTATTATATAATAAATTTCTAATATTTTGATTTAATTATTTGAAATTAATTAATTAAAAAATAAATTATATGTGACTTTTTCTGGTTATGCGATATGACTAAATTAGTTACGTTAATAGTTAATTAGTTATACATTACATGTGGCTAATTTTAAGGCTGTCATTTGACTTAAGGAGAAGTATTTTCCTCTCCTTTTAATAACATATTATAGATATAGATATATGCGTTGAAAAGTTTTTGGATCCACATTGCCCGAAAATAGAAAAAACCAGGAAAAAAAAGAAGGAAAAAAGAAAAAAAGAAGGCGTGGAAGATCGATGGCAGGAGCTAAAAAGCTGAAGAACGAAAGGAGGTCACTCAGTGAACCGGGTAGAGTTGGATTCATAGGCTTCTTTCATGAGGGTTTATTTCAATTTCTCAGGGAAAAAGGTCAAACTGGACAACAGTAACAAAGAGATTTCTGAATTTCATACCCGTGATTTCACACATTAAAAGCATATCTTAATTTTTTTTTATTCTAGAGTGTTGTACTGCTAAGTTTTTAGATTTGCATTATAATTCAAGCGATCACCTATTTACTTCCAGCAGATGCAAACAAACATTTGCAACGAGGAAAGCACTCAGCAAACAAGTTTGGCAGCTAGCACCAAGTTGAGGATAAAGTCATGACACTGCATTTGCCTTTTAACTGTTGTGTGTGAATCACAGAAGTAATAGACCTAAAAACCCATTTATTTTAACGCAAGTAGGAGTAAACAAATCGGTATCCTAACAACCTCTGGCAATGGGAACGCATTCTATGGGCTGGGCAGTGGTAAATTCCGCCAACATAAAGCCAAAAGTTCATTCAATAGAGTCTGAACCTGGGCTATCTTTCCACCAATAGCTATCTCTACAGGCTTAAGCAACCAGATACTAAAGACTAACATCTATTAAACAGTGATATTATTATCTAACTGAAAGATAAGAACATGCATAGACAAGAATATCACTCACATATACGAGGCATACATCTAACAATAGCCGCAAACCCAGACTCAAAACAATGCATAAAAGTTCAAGTGGCTAGATACAGGCAAGCATTGTGACAGTAACAACCTAGAACAGTATCAAATCCCATGAGCAAATTACTGCAATTAGTATCCTAAAAATGCTAAAGAGATGAAAGAAAATCTTTGAAACTACTGTATACGTATGATAACACGTGTATCTGTGCAGTGTATATAAAAACAAAATGTATTAGATCGAAGGTAGTAAAAGTCTAGTAACAAAGATAAGCTCTAGAAAGATCCCAACAATATGAGCTGAGTCATGTTTACATTATGAAAAATCTCACACCCTTTAGAGATGAATTTATTGCAATCTCAGAATAGATTTTCCATGTGTAAACAAATTCACAGCTTTGGGATGTTAAACATTCATATGCTTTCACTTTTCCTAAAAAGAGTGCGAGTACAAACTTCAACATTCTGCATTTGAGAGATCACCTAGCATAAAAGTCATGGGTCGTACTTCAACAAATTATGCAAATGTGCAATGTTTTAGGTCTTAACATTGTTCCTAACTTCTATCTGCCTCAAGATCATCAACCATCGTCCGTTTGCTTTCAGTATTATAAATGAGCTTCCAAATAACTTGAAATAACTGACAACCATGTGCTAGAATTTTCTTCTTCAGCTAGTCTAAAATGGTGATAGAATACCCCCACCAACATATACATGTGGTACCTACAATTGACATACAGACCCATAGTGTACAACGGGATATCATTCCATTTTATAAGCTGGACACATGTAAAAGCATCATTGCCAGAGTGACTTCAGACAAGAATATCCAGTGCTTTCCTATAACCAAAGTGTTCATTTAATTTGATTAAATAGATTGTTCTATACTCAATGGAACTAGAAACTGCATTTGCTATTACTCAGATCTTGTGGCTGGAGAAGTAGAACTGTCAAAAAGTAGCTCAATGCTTTGAGGTCCCAGTGCCAGCTGACCATGATAACATTTTGAATCTGTTATCTGTCACCCTTTCCACCTCCAAACCCTCCGTCTCATCTTTTCTCCTAAGATTATAAACCTATAGTTCTATCTATTTTACCTATCAATCAACCAAATGTGGATGTATTCCTCAGGAAACTGTGCAACTCGAACAATCAAAATATAAAGAATTCACATTCTTGAGTGAATAATGCACCAGGAAAAGAATTCCAGATCCACTAGCACAATCCCACATTTTCTCTGCCAATGTGAATTGCTTGATTAAACATTTTAAAGGAAAATCAGAAAATAAAGCATGATTCCATTTCAAACTATATTTCCCAAATATTATGTCAATCCTTGTCCAGCCTTCCATTCTTAAAAGCATATCAATACTTTTAAGAGGGAATTTAAATTAGACAAATTTTTCTATTGACATGTTAAATCACATCGTACTTCTTTTGACATATTAAAATAGGCAATAAAGGAATAAATGAAAATTGTGCTTTTTTCTTGATAAGTTCGAAAAAGTAAATATTGTGTTCATCTTCTAAAGATAAATATTTATTTAAAACACCTCTTTAAAACTGTCTATCGGAAACAACCTCTCTTCCTTCATAAGGAAAGGGTAAGGCCTACGTATACATTACCCTCCCCAAACCCCACGTGTGGGATTTCACTGGGTTTGTTGTTGTTCTACCTTTTTAAAACTTTAAAATCGATGATACAAACACTATCAGACATCAACAACAACATACCCAGTATACAACAACAACAACAACATACCCAGTATAATCCCACAAGTGGGGTTTGGGGAGGCTAGTGTGTACGCAGACCTTACCCCTACCTGGAGAGGTAGCGCAACATACCCAGTATAGTCTCACAAATGGGGTCCGGGGAGCTACAAACACTATCAGAAATGGGAGATAATGAGTAAGAGATGGTTTAATTAAATAAACATATTTGTGTCATTTGTATTGCTAAATTGCTAATACGTGTGTTACTCCATATTAAATTGGGTATAGATCAGCAACATATTTAATGCAGGGATAGGAACTAAAAACAGCAACAAGATATTGTACTTTTAATATGGAGTTCAGTATAGATATTATTTCAACTACAACATCCAACCAAATGACCCCCCAGACTTTCTGGAGAAGACCATGTGAAAAGCAAAAATCTGGAAGAGGCACATAAACATAGTTGTGTAGGACAGAAAGGATAATGATACCACACAAAAATGACACAATGAGCAGATAATTAATCTACACGAGAGGAAGAAGATTAACAAAAACCAAAATATTTGATCCCAAAGGTGATATTACAAAGAATACAAGAACCTTGCCAGCTACATATAAATTGAATAAACCATCATCTAACAAGCTACAGACCTTTTCAACTGTCCAGTTGAGTTGCTAAATGTACTACATGTTCAAAGCGCTATGCAAATAAAGAGATACATCTGCTACAAACTCTACAATCAAAGAGTCAAGATTTGAAATGTTTGTTAAGAACAACAAAAAGAAAAATCATAAACAGTTTTAGAAAGGATCTCTTACATTTTGCTAGGATACACTGCATATCCACAGGGAAAAAGCTTCAATTTGCGGGAGGTCTGCCACCACGACAGAACTCAAAGCAAAGAATCAGATCAAAGGTGCCATCCAAAGTCAGCAGCTCTCTTCCTAGCATTATTGATCCCTCCATCTTGGACTTGAAATGGGGAAGAACCCGGAAGGTGACAAAGGAAATCCATAACCAGGAGAAGGAGGAAATTGTGGTCCCGGGCCTAAAATCCCAGGCTGGGCCATGGGAGAGAAGGAGAAATTTGGTGTAAGTGGTGGAGGATGATGCATACCCGGAGAAAGCAATGGATAAGGGGACCGGGGAGATAACAAGTTCAAAAAGCCAGTGGGTGATGGCAAAAGATACTGAGAAGTCGGTGAAGGCAAAGGAGGAGGCCCATTTATTCCCGGGGAAGGAAGAGGTGGAGGAGGACCATTCAAACGTGGGGATGGAAGAGGGGGTGGGCCATTCATTCTAGGAGATGGAAGAAGTGGCATTGAAGGATTAGGTAGTAAACCAGATGATGGTGGATGTGCTTGAAAATGACCAGGACCTTGAAATTGTGCTTGTCTAGGCCCAGAATCTATTATTGAATTTTGAAGATAACGCATATAAACTGAAATTGGAGACTCAGCTGTATTTGTCCATACATCTCCAGGAGTGGGTGGTAACATAGAGGGTGACGGCTGACCATAGTGAGGCGGTCTCACAATAGTGTTATGGTAAGGAACACCTCCTGCAGATTGGGCAGGGGCTGGGACCTGTGCAGGAGGGTGGATTGGAATTTGGGAACGATTTATTGGAGTCAGAGGCGGTGGCCGAATCTTTTGTAATCTCATACTCTGAGGCTTTGAAGGATTCTGAGGAGGTCTAGGTGGAGGCTCTTGAGAAGGTGAACCTGTCAGTTGCTGAACAATGCTCCGAAAATCATTCTTGTTAATATTATAAACCTGAGGTTGAGGTTGTGGCCGAGCACTATTTGTGTTGTTGAAATTGGGTTGGTGTATAGGACTCTTCTTGATATTCTTCCCAAATTTATTCACACCCAAATGATCTGGATTCCTATTATCCATCTCAATAACTTCAAGACAATCACCGAACTCCAAAAGATTTTATCTTTAAATCCCTCTTTTACAACACTTCAACTAAAAAGGAATTATATAATGCAACTCAAATTTTATATCACTGCGAAAGACCCTCTACAAGTTTGATAACAAGAAACCCTACACTTGAAATTAAAGAAATATCACCGCAGACAGTGATACCCATACATCAACCAGCTTCAACTCCAGCCAAAACTTCTGCTTCAGTTCACAAAAGTAACCACGGAAATCTCAATAAACAACTTATTCTTCCCACAGAATATTCAAATCCCAGATACCATATATTACTGAACTCTTCCAAAAAGAAAAAAGTTTTCAATTTTTTTCTTTATAAATACTTAAAGGTCAAACGAGCATACAGAGTACAAACAACCCTAAAAAATCCAACCTTTTCAGTTTCCCACTTCCAATTTTCTCTCTCTATAATTTTCCAGAAACAGACATGCCCTAAAAGTTGAAAAGGTTAAGAGTAGAAAGAGACAGAGAAGAGAATTACGCTCTGATTACTGGGGCAAAGCGTCGAGCATGCGAACTGCAAACTTATGAAAACCTTCAGAGCTGAACACGGCGGAGGGTGGTGGTGGAGTTGGTGGCTGGTGGCTGTCGTCGGTCAACGAGGAAATGAAAAGGGAATTGAAGTTTGAAAACGAAGATGACGCGTTTCAAGGTTTTTAAAGTATCCACTAGTCTGCTAGAAAATAGAAAGAAGAAAGAGAAGGTGGGTCAGTAGGGCTATAGTGGGCCCGATAGGGTTGAATTAGAGTGACGAACCTGTTGCGTTAGTAGTGGGGGGTGAATGGAAAATACTGACGAAGACGAGTCAAACCACGGGAGTTGTTGCATGGTTGACGCACCCTATTGGATTAGACTTTTCAATTATCAAACTAAATTAATGACGTCGGGTTTTTAAATTTATAAATCAAACCAAACTAATAAAGACGGATTTTTTAATTTCGATTTTTCTTGGATTTTTTTGGATTTTCGAGTTTTACCTAACATAAAATATGTAACTTGTGCTCCAAATATTTCTTAAGTTCCAGTAAAACACAACTATATAATGTGTTTTCCAAGGAACTAACACAATAATATGAGATAAGTCATAACATTATACTAAAATATTCAATAACAAAGATAAAATAATAAAATTACATAAAATAAATATTGCTAATTAATAAGCTATAATAAAAATTAACATAATCTAAAAATACTATATATGTCATGCTAAAATAGGTATAGCTAATAAGTATTAATATTAGTTATATAACTAAGCACTAAGGAAAAATATAAACTAAGTTATGCATTTTCATTATAAACCAATGTAAAACTAAAATAATTATCTAACACTTTCGCCATTCTTAGTATTGAATTGAATTTCTTTTGATAGCATTAGTATTGATTTGAATTTTGTTTGAGTTACTACATTTATGGGCTATAAAATTTATTTATCCTTCAAGAATGTTAAGTCTAAACTTGAAATAATATGTTAAAAGATAAAACTGTGAAAAAGTTTAAGAAATATTTATATGTATAAAATATTTTTAAAAATTATATAAATGTACTATCGGGTTGGTTTGGTTTTGGTTTGACTTTTTTTTAGTTAAAATCAAACCAAACCAATTATGGTCGGGGTTTGTTTTCCAATACCAAACCACATCGGGGTTTTTTTAATCCGGTTTGACTCGGATTATCGATTTGGTGCGGTTTATCGGTTTTCTTTGTACACCCCAAGTTGAAACTTGAAGCATTTACTAAATTTAATTTACGAATTTGTAATTTGTTAATGATATTTGGAAAACTAAAAATTTGATATAATACATTTACTATTTAGAGAATTAAAAGTTTGATTATTTTCTTGCACATATTTTAAATTTGTTTTTAGTTGTTAAATATTAATAACTTGTAATATTTTTTACGTAATTTTTAAATATATAAATTTTATTTAAAAAATTTCTATTCAAATTGACACCGGACATTAATAAATTCAACCTCTGTACTTCGAAATACGTTACATAAAAACGAAATTTTAGAGTACTCCTTTTTAGAAAAAAAAAAATAGAAAAAGAAGTTATTGCTCCCTTCATTTTATTTTATTTGAACTAAAAAGTTTTATAAAGGTATGATTCAGAAGAAGAGATAGAATGGTGGAAAAAGGATTGAGAATGTGAGTAAAAGAAGGAAAACCTTTAAATACAAAGGGTATAAAAAATGTTAGCCATTATTTGTTTAAAACCATTGTAATAAACATATTATAATTTCTTTGGCCTTGTGTGTCTCCTTTCTATCATACTATAATAATCTTATAGGAGTACCAAATTACACGTATATTTGATAAAGGGTTGAGTCAACTTAGATTTAGATATCTACCAAAAAACTTGGATTTAGATAATTTATTCAGCCACGTATTAAAAATAAAGATTTGCAAGCAAAGCTCAAACGTCTTAAGGTAGAATGTAGAAAGTTTGACTTTGACTGTAAAAGTGTGGGCAAGTTTATTGTACGTACGCTATAAGAATAATGAATTTTTTTCCTGTAAAGAAGACATCTATTATTCTGGGGAAGGAAATAGCCTTTTATGTTCTCATTATAACAAGTGGTTATACCATGACTTCCCACAGTTTTTGTTACGTCATTATAGGAATATTCATAAATTATCATTTAGTAATGGGTAAAAATTAAATGAATTACCCTTTCATTGACCACAAAAGTGGCCATATCTTTAGGCAGTTAATTAAGAGGAAGCAGAAAACAAAAACATATAAAAGATCTTGACAGAGTAAATACACAAGAATTTCCCACATGAGTAGTTCGATGATGACCAAAGGATCATGATTCGAACGTCTGCTTTGTCACAAGTTGAGGGGAAAAAAACAAAGATGCACAAAATCGGTTGGATAATGTTCCAACTTTAAATTGATAAACAATCTGGATGTTAAAGAAATGTTTACACATTACTGTTTTTGGTATGACTAATCAAAAATATCTTTTAAGAAGTGTTTTCCGTAAAATAAGTCATTTTCTTTTGGTATGACCCAACATATTTTTTAAGAAGTGTTTTCCTGTAAAATAATTCATTTTATTATGTTTATTTAATAGAAAAATAAGCCATTCTTATTATAGTAGCAAGAAAATATTTTGCCACCAAAAGGAAGAAAATTTTTCACTTATGATCGAGCAAAAGTCGTTTGCCTTATTGATAATCTCAACTCTTAGCGTTATAATGCTGCATCAATTAACATTTAGATATTCTTATAATTTTTTATTAATATTTTATAGTCAACATTAACCAAAAATTGGAAAATTTTTGCAACAATTTTTCTTTAAAAAAAGCAACTTACTCTGAAAAACAAATTCAAAAACATTTCTCATCATACCAAGCAAATTAACCCAAATCAAGATTAAATAACTTAATTATCGCCCAAGGAGAGGACTTCATATTCCTCCATATAGCCCCTGTTGAAGTTGTCGTGCAAGAAGAAAGTCACGCAACTATTGGAATTTCTCGACCCAATTCAAAAATAAACATTATCATATTGCACATGGCTTAATCAATGTAATTCGTAGCAGCCAGCTTGTCCGTATGCACAAATGCAAAAATAAGGACTCTTAATCCTTTTTTTAAATGGCCAATTAACGCATAATTAGTTATAATTAAAGAAGCGTAAGAATGGTTGCATGCTTTATCCAAGCATGATGTAACAATGACTCTGCATTTTCGGAGATTTCCACGTAAGCTCCGTTTGAATTATTTTCCAAGAATGAGGTAGATTAAAAGAAAAGAAAGAGATAAAACAATTTACTATACAAATTGTTAATTAAGCTACCTGGAAATTAGTAGTGAAAAACCAGTTTAATAGTTTTACCAATATAACCATCTAGAATTTAACAAATATGCAGCTAATGTCCACATTGTCCACTCAATATATTTCCAAAGAATGAACAATTTTTGGAACGAAATCCACATTAGTCAAACCTTTCTATTACATACTCGTTTGTTACGATATTTTTTTGTTGTTATAGTGAAGTGCATATATAGAGAACATATTTATACCATAATATAAAAATCGATTTTGAGAAAAAATTAGCTTTTATAGTGAATAACTATTATGCAGAGATACTGTTATATGTCATGCCGCCGTTCTAATCCAACTTCAGCCTATATTGAGAACATATTTATAACATAATATAAAAATCAATTCTGAAAAAAACTTAACTTTTATAATGAATAACTATTATATAGAGTTACTGTTATAAGTCATGACGCCGTTCTAATCTAACTTCAGCCTAATTAATGACTGAACATGATACCGAAGGAAATGTGACACCCAGTTAGTTAATGAGAAAAAAAAATAAAATGAAAAAGATACAGAAAAGTATAAATTAGTTTCAACAAAGAACTGGTACGTTACATAACTAATCCGACCCTGGGAACATATCCAGTCTGTTAGCAACTAAGAGTTTTATTGCTTCTGACTTATTATGCATATAAATGTAACAATTAAAAAAATGAGATTATCAATCATTCTAAATATTGGATTCGCCTATTTTATTTAACTAGTTGACGTTGCAGATCCTCGAAACTCCAATCCCTTCTCATCCCAGGGCTCCTTACTAACCTGGGCGAACCACCTGGAAACTCCACCGGACCGCTGTTATGAAGCCGGCGAGAACCTTTTTTAACCTTGTTCACCGGGCCCCGAGGCGAATGAGCCATGTTTTCAGGCCTAGGTGCAAAATTCCCTGACCAGCTCATTTCAGGCCTAATGTAATCTGATTTTTCTTTACTATTTTTATCAACATTGAATCTTGCCTTTAATTCATTTTCTGAATCTGTCCTCAGAATCTTGCAGGTCAAGCAGCTGAGACTCATATTTGATTATACAAAAGAAGAAGAATAAGGAAAGATTGCTTTGTGACGAATAAGGATAGCCTGAGGTGTATATCTAAAGAGAGAAAAGAAAAAAAGGGAAATGAGTCTTTACGTTGTTCAAATATCATTAAATTTCTGCCCTTCATGCAATAATGAATGTAGGAAAAAATGTGGGATTTTGTTACGAACTGATGTTTCTGAGATTGCATGAGTTGTTTTAGCTTTTCTTTTACCCATTTAATATTAATTATTTGGTTGATAATGGCCAATCGTTTTGGTGTTCTGGTCAAGATTTGGATCCGAAAATGAAGCTGAATCAATGTTTAGTTAATCGCTAATATATACTTTCTTTGGCTCAAATTAATTTGAACTATAAGCAGAGTGGTTGGGCAGAATTTTTACCCGTTGGTTTACATAATTTTAGCCCATCCTATGATCCTAATCCAATACTTAGACGGTTCATTTTGGGTTCAACCCATTTTGACCCGTGTATCCTCAGTCGCTGATCCAACCCGTTTAAACTTGGGTGGGTTGCACATAAGTGGATTAGAATTGACACCACTATTGGAGCAGGGAATTTAGTGCCTCCAAAAGCAATCATCACAAAATACACACGCAAAAAGGAAAAAGGGAAGATGAACTACACTAAAAAAAATCACTCACTAACAATACTAGACAATAGTAGTGTGCTTTTGCTGTCATCAACCACTTGATTATCACAGGCATTCACAGCATAATGCATTCATCTGTACATTAACCTTGACGATGAAAGTCTATCCGTCCTATTCAAAACATTTCCACACCTATGGTCAATATATGTATATGTATTAGGGGTGTACATAGGTCGAGATGATTCAGATTTTCTAATTATCAAATCAAACAAATTGTATCGTATTTTTAAATCTAAAGACCAAACAAAACCAATAAAAGTCGGATTTTTTAATCTCGGTTTTTCTCTGATTTTTCGGATTTTCGGGTTTTTTAGGTTTTTTTTCATAAAGTCTTCGTAGCACAAAACATAGAATGTGTTTCAAATATTTCTTTAGTCCTAGTAAGACAGAACTATATAAGATATTTTTCAATAAAATAACATAAATATGAGATGAGTCATGTGATTGTACTAAAATATTCAACAATAAAGATATAAAATCGCATAAAATAAATATTATTAATAAGTTATAATGAAAACAAACATAATTTAAAGTTACTAATGAGTTGCTAAAATAAGTACAACTAATAAGTACTATTATTTACATGACTAAACACTAAAAGAAAAATAAGTTATGCATTTTATCTAAACCATTGAAAAACTAAAAAATAGATATCCAACACTATTTTTATTCCTAGTACAATTGAATTGAATGTCTTTTATTAGCATTAGTATTGATTTGATTTCGATTTAGAAGTTATTTGAGTTACTAACATTTATGGACTACAAAACTTATTGGAGCATCCAAAAATTATAACTTCAAGCTTGAAATAATACGTTGAAAGATAAAACTATGAAAAAGTTTAAGAAATATTTATAAACTACACTACAATAAATATTTTTATGTATTAAATATATTTAAAACTTCTATACATATAATGTCGGGTTGGTTTTGTTTCGGTTTGTTTTTTTAGTTAAAAGCAAACCAAACCAAATATGGTCGGATTTTATTTTTCAATACCAAACCAAATTAAACCAAATCATAGTCGAGTTTTTTTCTCGGTTTGACTCGGACTATCGAGTTGGTGCGATTTGTCGCTTCCATTTGTACACCCCAAATATGTACGTAGGTGATTAGATCCTTAACCTAAGACTATTACAATTTTTATAATTGGATACTGAGTTTGTTGTATCACTAAAGCCTCAGTTCGATGTTTTATCTAGCCGCCATTCGTTGATCTAAAGTTTAAACCAGATCAATATCTCAGATTATGTTAGTTCATGTCCCTAGTAATGCCGAAAACAAACAAATATTAAGGGTATGTTTGGAAAGCCACACGGTAATTGTAATTGGTGTAATTACACACCCTAGTAATTACACAAGCTAGTAATTACGACGACGTGTTTGTTTGTCATAACGTAATTACAGCGTAATTACAAGCGTATTGTTTGGTTGCACAAGTGTAATTACACAATTAGATTAAATTTTAAATAAAGTAATTATGGAACTTAAAAGTTAATATAATAAATATATGCAATATAAATAATTTTTATAAGTATAAATGATATTAGATTTAGTATTTAAGATGCATATTTTTTCTTGAATATACACTAATTAGTAATCATATATTTAT